GAGAATGTTCGATGAGACCTGGGTGTCCTTGTGCACCAGTCACAAAGTAAGCGTGCAGGTGCAGCAGGTGATAAAGAAGGCAAACTGTTGGCCATCATATTGAGAGGAACAGGAACTAGGATATATTACCACAATTATACAGGGCATTGATGAGATGCACCTGCCATATTGTGGGCAGTTTTGGTCTCCTTATATGGGGAAGGATGTTCTTGCTATAGAGGGAGTGCAGCGAAGATTTATCAGCCTGATTCCTGGGATGGTGGGACTGACGTATGAGGAAAGATTGTCAGATTCACTGGAAATTAGAGGAATGAAGGGGGATCTCATAGAAACCTACAAAATTTTAAAGGGATTGAACAGATTAGACGCAGGAAGTACGTTCCTGATGGTGGGGAGTCCAGAACCAGGGGCCATAGTGTAAGGATACAGGGCAAACCTTTTAGGGGGTACAATTACAACATTTAAAAGGCATCCCAATGGGTATATGAATAGGAAGGGTTTAAAGGGATATGGGCCAAATGCTCGCAAATGGGACTAGATTAATTTAGGATATCTGGTCGGCACGGACAAGTTGGACCGTGGAAATTGTACTGTACATCTCTATGACTGAGATGACGTCAAATGTCTTCACCCAGACAGCGGTGAGCCTGTGGAATCCAGTACTACAGAAAATGGTTGAGGCCAAAAATTATGCGTTTTCAAGAATGAGGTAGATATAGCTCTTGTGGCTAAAGGGTCAGGGGAAGTGCGGGGGTGGGGGGTGGGGTGGGGGAAGGGCAGGATTAGGGTATTACGCTCGATGATTGGTCATGATCCTATTGATTGGAGGGGCAGGTTTGAGGGGTCGAATGGCCTACTCCTGCCCTCCTCTTCTATGTTTCTATGTTTTTCTCATACTGCCACTGGTTTAGAATTGCTTACATTTCAATCTCTCTTCTAATCTGATGTAAGGCTGTTGACTTGAAGCATTACCAGTGTTTCTCACCACAGGTGCTGCCTGACTTACTGAGTATTTCAGGAAGATCTTGCATTTATGTAGCACCTTTCACCATCCCAAGACATCCAATGTGCTTTGCAGACAGGGGAGTACAGTCATCCCTCATTTAGCTTGAATCCTAGAAAACGGCCTACCTGCAGAAATTACTTTTGTACAAGAAACCGTGGAAGTTGGGTTGTTACATTTCTGACCCGTAATTTTAAAATTAAAAACATATTTTAAATTACATAATAAAATTAAAAACATATTCACTGCCCTGAATCTCATTGGCCTAAAAGTCCTCTGCTTAATTCTTAATTATTTAACTCCTACTCATTTGGTTGTACAGAACTTGAGTAATGCTGAAAAAGAGACACAATTTCTCAAAGCTTTTTGTCTTGCACCTATCAATATAAAGGGGAACACGAATTTAGACTCTGTAGGAGATAAGTGCTGATTGGCTAGCAAGTGATGGCCTAGTGGTATTATTACTGGACTGTTAATCCAGAGACTAGACAACATTCTGGGGACCCAGTTCGAATCCTGCCATGGCAGGTGAATTTGAATTCAATAAATAAATATCTGGAATTAAGGATCGAATGATGACCGTGAATCCATTACCAATTGTCAGGAAAAACCCATGTGGTTCACTAATATCCTTTGGGGAAGGAAACTGCCATCCTTACCTGGTCTGGCCTACATGTGACTCCAGATCCACAAAAATGTGGGTGACTCTTAAATGCCCTCTGGGCAATTAGGGATGGGTAATGAATGCTGCCTGGCCAGCAATGCCCTCATCCCGTAAATGAATAAAGCAAGTAACAATGCCTCTAACAATCAGAGTCCCCCACTTGTGAACCAATCAGCACTCTTCTCAGCTTGTGTAAAATGTTTTTCCCCCTTTTCATTGATATTCTTGCAAATGGTCCTGATTAGTGCATGATGAAAAGTTTTGATAAAATGTGTCTTTTTTTTAAGCAATACTCAAGTAAACTCCAGCTTGTCACTTCCTGCATCCAGCTCACCATATTTCCTGATTCAGTCCTTCTCTCCTGAACACACTCACTCACCGTCCCTCCTGCTCACAGCTTGCCCTGCCTCACCACTTCCCTCCTGAGCCTTCCAGATTCCCTCCTCTCTTGCACACAGTGGATTGTGTAAACCCTTGTCTTCCAAGTCCACCAACGGAACTCAGAGCCCCTCAGAAACTACCCACCAGCTCACAGAAACTCAAGTTTCACAAGTGGCAGCTTCTTTTCCCCATCATCTCCCCATTTCAGAGATCCCACCCTCCCCCTCTGCTCGTTCTCTCTTCCTACAATGTCATTGGGGGAACTGCCAAGCAATCAGCTGTTGTCACATGATTTGGCCATCTGCATGATGCGGGATCAGGCGCCAATGGAAATTCGGTTGCAGATGGCATCGCAACTTTACAAAGCATTGATTGGCAGAGCACAGTATACTTTGCACAAGATGGTGAAGACTGTCCCAGTGGAACAGCTCCCTCTTTCCTGAGTGCTGGTGCCAGTGTCCTATTTCTCCCACTCAAATCATGGAGAGACCTGCTTTCAACCGTCTGAGCTGTATTCTATATTAATCACTCAGAGATTATTACTTTTGAGGTGTTGCTTTTTAATTTAGCTCTAAGGGACGCATCCTCCCTCAGCAGAACCTGTTATTTTACTTAGCCCTTTCTATGTCATTAGGACACACGAGAGCCACAATAATGGGATCATTCCCCTCCCGCTCCCAGTTTATCTCCAGACCTGAGGAGATGTCCTTACCACTGACAAGGAGTAATGGATTCAGGTTTTTGTTTGCAGAGAACTACATCTTTTCCTTTAATGATACTAATCTCCTCTACAACTGCATTCTGTTTTTACCCCTCCCACTGAATTGGCCTCCTACACCACAAAGCTGTGTTCAGTTTGTTCATCTGCACTGTAATCCCTGTTCTCATCCACACAAGCAGCAAACCACCATGGGCGGCATGGTTAGCACTGCTGCCTCACAGCACCAAGGACCCGGCTTTAATTCCACCCTTGGGTGTCGGTGTATGGAGTTTGCACATTCTCCCCGTGTCAGTGTGGGTTTCCGCCAGGTGCTCCAGTTTCGTCCCAAAGTCCAAAAACGTGCAGGTTAGGTGGATTGGCCAAGGGAAATGCAGGGTTATGAGGTCAGGGTGGAGGGGGGGACGAGGTGTGATGCTCTTCAGAGGGGCGGTGTGGACTGGATGGGCTGAATGACCTGCTTTCACACTTTAAGGATTCTATGAAACACCCTGAATCTACCAAGCACCTCTTTTGAGCTCAGATCCACTTAGCCCAGCTCCACCATTGCACAGAGATCTCCTGTCAAACAATCTATACTTTGGAATGAGCAGGGAGATGGAAACAGCTCATCAGCAAAACAAAGACAATCAGACTAAATGGACTACAGAGAAAAATTTCTGAAGAAGGGTCCAGACACGAAACGTCAGCTTTCCTGCTCCTCTGATGCTGCTTGGCCTGCTGTGTTCATTCAGCTCTACACCTTGTTATCTCAGATTCTCCAGCATCTGCAGTTTCTACTATATCGGAGAAAAATCATCTCTCTCAAGAGCTTGAGCAGTCAAATGATTGGAATGTGGAATGGCACAGAAACAGTGCAGATTAAAAGGAACTGCCCAGGGGGGAATGTGTATACTAACATACTATATTCATAAATATTCAGAAACAAAACCACTGCAAAGGACCCCACGCAATTAATCCCCTTCACAGATTTCTTATCAGTCACGGGTCACCAGTGTGTGCCCATACGACTAAAGGGGAAATAGAGCGAGGGCGGAGGATTTTGGCCCTCGAGAGGTAAAGAATTCAAATCATTGTTTAGATGAAATTATAACAGAGCTCTTTCACAGTTATTTCGAAACCCTCCTTTAATCCTCACCCTGCCTGCTTGCTGGAGGACATGCCCCCAAGTTAGTTGATACAACTGGCTTTTGTTGAGGGTTTGGGATTGATTGCTGTAGAAATGGAAAAAGTTGATAAATCTTTGAGGCTGGTCTCAATGGCCTTGGATACTTCTTGTCATGAAAACATCCATATTTTGATTCTCTGCTGTATGTGTAAATACATTGTTGTGTTATGTCCAGGACAAAGAGATGGCACCTTTTCAGTCTTACTGCCTGTAACTGATAACAGCCAATGTCAAACCCAGACTGAAGGCCAGGGGCATGGTGATCCAATGCTTTTTAACTGAGTTCATAACTGGGAACAGTGTAAAGATGCAGATGAAGGGAGTGATCGGGAGCTCCGGTTTAGCTGGCTGGAATGTGGAATCTTTGCCAGTAAATATACAGTGCTTCACTGAACGTTTATCAGAGCATCGTTTGTAACCTCGCAGTTGGCTGTGTGTTTGTTTAGCGTTTAACCATTAATAAATATTCAAGTGCTTAACCCCATCTCAAAATTCGCTCTTTGATACATAAGTACTGTTTGCTTACACTCCATCAATGACAGAAAAAAGACATCTTGTCAACATTTTCGAATCGAAAATAGCAGGTTTTAAACACAAAACAGAATCATCATCATAGAATCCCGACAGTGTGGAAACAGGCCCTTCAGCCCAACAAGTCCACACCAACCCTAGAAGCATCCCACCCTGACCCACCCCCCAAAACCCACTGAAGCTGCACATCCCTGAACAATATGGGCAACTTAGCATGGCCTATCCACCTAACTTGCAAATCATTGGACCCTGGGAAGAAACCGGAGCACCTGGAGGAAACCCACACAGACATGGGGAGAATCTGCAAACTCCAAACAGACAGTCGCCCGAGGGTAGAATTGAACCCGGGTCCCTGGCGCCGTGAGGCAGCAGTGCTAACCACTGAGCCACCATGCCACCCGTGCTCTGTATTAGCCAATCAAGGTGTACTGGGGTTAATGTGTGATAATAACAGATTCTGGGAGTGAGTTACAAGCTGGAATCTAAACAAATGCATTTCTTAAGGGACTTTAGGATTAAACTTTGTCCCACATACTTGAACTGCAGGTGGTCCTTGGCGCTCCTGGTTTTGGCCATGAAACGTTCAGCCAGCTTCTCCAGGTTCTTCGAGTAGTCCATCTCGATCTCGGATTTTTTCCGGAAGAAGTCCTGCAGATCCTGGAGGAGCTGCACCCTGGCCTCTGACTGCTGGTCCAGACATTTCAGCTGTTCCAGGAGCTGAGCTCGGATTTCTGCAGCAAGACAAAGAAAGAGGTTAAGAGGTTAGGAAACAAGCAAAGCAGAGCCGGTCAGTCTGCTCAGTCTGTTTTCAGGTCTATCCCTGCTTTTCGGAAATGTAAAAAACGAGGGCAACAGGCGTGGGCCCAATGGCCCCTGAGGGAACCATCTGCTCCACCATTTTGAGGAGCTTTGTGTAGCTCAGACCTCCAGTGTTGACACAGATCTCACACTGGCTGCACCTCACAGCACCTCTGCCTCAAAATCTGCAGCTTGTCATTAAACAGTGAGATACAGAACAATCACAATTAAGGCACAAAAGCAGAAATTCCTGAAGAAACTCAGCAGGTCTGGCATCTGTGGAGAGAGAAACGTTCGAAACAGTAACTCTGTTTTCTCTCTCCACAGATGCTGCCAGACTTGCTGAGTTTCACCAGCAATTTCTACTTTAGTCTCATTTCCAGCATCTACAGTTCTTTAATTTAAACACAATTAAGGGTTAGATTGAATGGAGCCAGGCACTATAGGCCGTGTATGACTGTTATGTTGCCAGCTGATGGTGCATCTGCAAATACCAGGTCCCACTGTGAAATGTGGCTTGATTGATCGTATTTTGTTTTCCCTTTCCCTTGTGTAATAACCTTCTCCTTATACCAAATTTGCAGCTTGGCATGTCTACATTGCAGTGAAAGACTGCCACCTCACCAAAAACAACAAAATATGATCTACTGAACCAGGTTTTATCCTGGGATTTGACTTGTCCAGTCATAACATTGGCTGAGATCATAACTATGAGGCCTTCCCATGATTTTACGTTGAATCCTCGGTATCAGTTGCTGTTGGACCAGATAGAAAGAAATCAAGCAGGCAAAGGGAAAAACTTCACAGTCACGTAAAACAAAGGCAGCAAAATAAATGTCTCAGAGTACAGAAAACCCATTCCACTCTTGGCCACAACAATCAATATCATTTTCCATCTCTGAGCACAAGTTTAATTTGCTCTGATCTCAGAGGCCAATGGGAAGTCTCCCTAATGATCTCCCTTCCCTCTGGATGGCTTCAGTTAAGCACAACTTGTAGATTGCATCTTTGAGATAACAATAACATCTCATTAGTTTCTTCCCTTTCAAGTCTGAAGTAGTGATCTCCTGGGGACTACAGACGAGGCAAGCAGCCTGCTTCCAGGCCTCGGTTAGGGTTTGGATGGAAAACCAATTAACAATTTAAGGTTGGGGGCACGTCATTTATCAAGCCATCCTCTTCTAACACAATATTCACTCAGTTTTCTGATTCTTCTCTGAAACACAGCCAAGAAATCCTCATAAACATTAACTGAAAGCAAATGGTCACCAACCAGGTATCAGGGTTCACGTCCAGATTTTTGTTATGAGGTAACAACAAGTTACATCTCCTGCTTTTATAAAATTTATCAAGTTTAAAAAAAACCTCTCAGGCAGAGTTTAATAAGAAGACTGACAATACATGCAGCACAATAAAAATAAACACACAGTTTGCTACAGCCAAAACTTCAGGATTTGGTGATGACGACGGGTCAGTGAAGGCTGGCACAGCCTCTGCTGAACTGCTATGTGTTCCTGTTTCAGCAAGTCTTCCCTAGCAGGCAACCACACTTTCCTGTCTCAAATCCCCACATGCAACAATGCTGCTTTAGAAACTGCTCAAGTCTTTAAGAGGCAAAACATTCGTCATGACAGAACTGAGCTTCTTATAAAAAACAATCGTTGCTTCTCCTGACTGCCCTCTTCTTCACAGTTCCACTTCCTTTGTGCAGAATTCTCTCTTTGCTGGTTGTGGTTAGAACTCGTCATCTTGTAAGTCATCGAAATGGTAGAGAAATCAGCTCCACAGGCTCGACGCCCCTCTCTCTGGAATTTTGTTTTTGCTCCCATTTTGCATTCCATCGCTGAATCTTCAATGAAACATTTCTGCAGCAAATCATTCCCTACCCGCACTCCCTTCACAAACTAGCTCCTCTTTTCACAAGGTGCTGAGTTCTTGTTAGTTTGCAATTCCAATTGCCTCTCTCTGAAATTCCTTTTCTTCACCATGTTGACTAGTCGACCACGAGGGGCCTCATATCTGATCCCCGTGTTCTTCTCAGCCAGCACCAGCAAAATAATCAGTGGCCCTTTCAACACTCTCTGACAAAGACTGTGCCCTGAACCCACCAACACGTTATCCATTGTCCTCAGAGGGAGAAAAGACAGAAGGAAAAAGCCATTGACCAATGAGAAAAATACTCCGCAAAAGCTCATCCTCATGTCTGAATTTCGCATTGAAGTCTTTTGAGGTAGCATCACCATTACAAGGGAGCTGTGGATGAAGGAGAACATCACTTTCCAAAATGTGGAAATAAATTGAGTGTTACCCACAATCTATGAACAAAAAAATGGATTAAAAATCTTCAGGAGAGTCTGAGCTCTGTGATTTAGTTGATGCCTTTCCTTTTTAATTTTACATCTCAGAAGGAGGCCATTCAGCCCTCATTTTCCCATGCCAGCCCACTGCAAGAGCTGCCCAATTTAATCCATGCCCTGTGCTTCTTTCTATAAAGCTCCAAACCTGGTGAATGCTGTGGTGTAGTGGCAATAACTTGTAATCCAGAGCCCCAAGCTAATAAAGAACAAAGAACACTACAGCACAGGAATGGGCCCTTCGGCCCACCAAGCCTGCGCTGACACATGATGCCTTTCTAAACTAAAAGCCTTATGCCTCTCTGCAGTCTGTCGCCCTCTATTCCCCATCTATTCATCTATCTGTCAAGGTGCCTTTTAAACACTGTTGTTGTATCCACCCCCACCACCTCCCCCAGCAGTGCATTCCAGGCACTTACCATCCTCTGTGTAAAAAAACCTGCCTCTCACATCTGCTTTAAACTTACCCCCTTTTACCTTAAACCTATATCCCACAGTAACTGACATTTCTACTCTGGGAAAAAGACTCCAAATATCCATCCTATCCATGCCCCTGATAATTTTATAAACGCTTATCAGGTCGCCCATCAGCCTTTGACCTTCAAGTGAAAACAAACTGAGTTTGTCTAATCTCTCCTCATAGCTAATACCCTCCAAAAATGGCAACATCCTGGTTAACCTTTTATGTACTGTGTCCAAAGCCTCCATATCTTTCTGGGAGTGTGAGGAACAGAACTGTACACAATATTCCAAATGTGGCCTAACTAAAGTTCTATACAGCTTAAAACATGACTTGCCAATTTTTATACTCTATGTCCCGATCAATGAAGGTAAACATGTTATATGCCTTCTTGATCACTTTATCCACTTGTATTGCTACTTTCAGCAAACTGTGGGCCCATGTGCCTAGATCCCTCTAGGCTTCTAAGGGTTCTGCTATTTAGTGTACACTTCCCTCTTGCATTAGATCTTCCAAAATGCATCACCTCACATTTGTCTGGATTAAACTCCATCTGCCCAAGTCTCCAGGCTATCTATATGCTGCTGTATCCTCTACCAATCCTCCTCACTATCCACAGCTCCCCCAATTTTTGTGTCATCTGCAAACTTACTAATCAGACTATCTACACGCCGCTCCCCCCAAATCATTTAAATTTCTATGTTACAAACAACAGGGGTCCCAGCACTGATCCCTGCAGAACACCCCAGGTCTCAGATCTCCAGTCAAAAAAACACCCTTCCACTACACTCTGTCTTCTATGACCATAAGCTAGTTCTGTCTCCATCTTAGCAGTTTATACGGATCCCATGTGACTTATTTCTTGTATCAGCCTGCCACAAGGAACCTTGTCAGATGCCTTGCTAAGGTCCATACAGACAACATCTACCGTCCTACCATCATCCGTCATCTTTGACACTTTCCCACAAACTCAATCAGGTTTGTGAGATAGGACCTCCTCCACACAAAGCCATGCTGCCTGTTGTTAATCAGTCCAGATTTTTCTCAATGCAAATAAATCCTGTCCCTAAGAATCTTCTCCTATAATTTCCATACCACTGATGTAAGTCTCACCAGCCTGTAATTTCCTGGATTATCCCTGTTGCCCTTCTTAACCAAAGGAACAATGTTGGCTATTCTCCAGTCCTCTGGGACCTCTCCTGTTACCAAAGAGGTTCCAAAAATTTACAAAAATTTCAAACAAGGCCCCAGCAATTTCTCCCTCACATCTCTCAGCACTCTGGAATAGATGCCATCAGGTCCTTGGGGACTTGTCAACCGCAATGCTTTTCAAAACACACAACACCTCCTCCTTCTTTATACTGACATGCCCCAGAATATCAACATACCCCTCCGAAGACTCTCCATCCACCATGTCCTTCTCCTCTGCTAATGCTGATGCAAAGTATTCAGAAGGACCTCACCCACATCCTCCAGCTCCACTCATGAATTCCCTCCTTTGACCTTGCGTAGATCTACCCTTTCCCAAGCTACCCTCTTGCTCCTCATATATATGCAAAAAAAGCCTTATGATTTCCTTTAAACCTGTTTGCCAAGATTATTTCATGGCCCTTTTAGCCCTCCTAACTCCTTGTTTAAGTACTTTAATGTTGGATTTGAATGGGTGAAGGTATGATGGGCTGAAAAGTCTCTTTTCATACTGTAACTTTTCTTTGGCAAGCCACCATGGTGAATGGTGCAATTTAAGTTTGATAATAATCCAGAATTTAGAGTTGCAAGCCTTATAACAACAACATAACCACTGTCAATTGTTGTAAAAACCCATCTGATTCACTAACGTCCTTTACAGAAGGAAACTGTCATCCTTACCTGGTCTGGGTATATGTGACTCCAGACCCAAAGCAATCTTACAATTTTTCAGAAAGCATTCTATCCGGACGCATCGCAGCGTGGTATAGCAACTGCTGTTCCCAAGACCAAAAAATATTACAGAGAGCTCTGACCACAGCCTAGTTCATCTCACAAACCAGCCCTCCATCCATTCACTCCGTCTATACTCCCCGCTGCCTTGGGAAAGCAGCCAACATAATCAAAGGCCCCTCCCACCCCAATTA